TTCTGAACTCTATCTGATACCATCCTAAGTATTTACCTGTACTATTTGAAGCAGAGAGTACCTACCTATTTACAGACAATGAAGACTGTCAGCTTTCTGTTAAGTGACAAGATATCTGAGATAGTCAACTTTCAAGAGGGAAAGCTTTTACTTTGCTGTGCTAGATAGCTTCAGTTGTCAACTTGACACACCTGGGAAAAAGGAGCCTCAGTTAAGGAATTTCCTCTATTGGAGACCTGTGTCCATGTCTGTGAGGCATTTCTTTGACTATTGAGTGATGTGGAAGGGCTTAGCTCACTGAGTGGTTCCACCCTGGGCAGGTAGTCCTAGGTTATATAAGAAAGCGGGCTGGGCACAGGCCAAGGGACAAGCGTTCCTCCATGGTCTCTGCTTCAGCTTCTGCCTCCAGGTTCTGGCCCCATTTGAGTTCCTGCCTTGACTTCCCTCGGTGATTGACTGTCACTTGGAAGAGTAAGATGAAATAAACCCCTTCCTCACCCAGTAGTTTTTTTTTTCCAATTTTTATTTTATATGTATGAGTGTTTTTCCTGTATGTATGTAGTTGTACTGTGTCATGCTCATGAAGGCCAGAAGAACGTATCAGATCCTCTGGAACTGGAGTTACAGACAGTTGTTTGCTGCCATGTGTGTGCTGGGAAATGAATCCAGGCCTCCTGCAAGAGCAGCCAGTGCTCTTAACCACTGAGCCATCTCTCTAGCCCTCCCCCCAGTGTTTTATCACAGTAATAGAGAAGCAAACTAAGACATTTGCTTTATAGTTTCAGAAGTCTTAATCTATGGTCATTGAGCTCTATTACATTTGGGTCTGACAAGTCAGTACCTCATGGCACCAATCAGGATAGAGCAAAGCTTCTTGCCTCATGGCAGCTAGGAAGCAAAGAAACAGACAGAGTCGGGGTCCATATCCCTTTCAGAGGCACATCCCGGTGAGATGCTTTCCTTGGGCCTCACCACATGAAGATCTACCACCTCCCAAAGCATACCAACTGGGGAGCAACCTTTAACACAGGCCTGCAGGAGGCACTTATAGAAGCCTTAGCAGAGAGCTAGGCTTGGAGTTGCTCAGCAAAGTTAGATAGTTGTAAGTGGCCTAACTGGAACTCAGCTTTTGGTTGTGTCTGGTGGAGTGTTTGTGCTCTTCACACTGAAGTACATAAGCAGCATGCTCAGACAGGTGCAAAAGTGTTCAGAGACAGTGGAGGGGAAATGCGCATGTTTTGCTTTATTCTTTTGAGTTTCTGTTTGTTACTGGGGAAGGGTGCATACCTAATAAATACACCGTATCACAGGAAACTATAATCAGGTTCTGCTAATAATTTTGTCATTTGAGTTTTTCATTCATTCTTTAAATATGTATTGGACACTTAGGTGTCAGGCCCTATGATGGAGCTAAGTATATACAAACAAGGCACTGGAGCTGAGAGAGCCCACAGTAGTCTCAGAACAGAAGTGCAAATAATGTAAAAAAGGAACTAGAATTCTATCCAGGGGTCATGATGAACTACAGGATGAGTTCACAGGGCAGAAGCAAGTAGCAATGGTGGTTTTCAAGTAAATGATCCCAGAAGCATTGGAAGCTAGTTGGTATTTCGAAGGAATGGCAAGTGTGTAGACATAAGCAGAGAAGTTGGAGCAGTTGCTTCTGGGTTTTATTATTCTATTTGATTTTATTTTCCAGTTTTAAGACACATAAAAGGAGATAAAATTGAAATGAATCATAGTTATTAATAAAACCTTTAAAAGTGTATGGAGTTAGAAATTAAGTGTGTTGCATGTATTAGTCAAGTAAATATATAGCAGTGATAGAATCCAATTGTTTATATAACCAGACATAAAATACTAAATTCATTACAATATCATTCCTAAACATTTATTCTTTAGAACTATAGGAGACTCATTTGAGTTCTTTTCAGCATTTTTTTAACTTCTAATTATAGGATGTGAAGTTGACAGCAAGCAATGATGATTACTATTTTGTATTTGAAGATTATTTGTATCAGGTAAGTTTAAAAATTATGTAGTGTCTTGGCATTAGATTATCGAAATCATAATACTTTAAAAGATACACTACTGTTAAGTAAATCCTCTGAATTCCCAAATGTGTTTCTGAACTGTTCCTTTGTTTATGTATGCTGCAGCCGGAAGGCACTAGAGGGTCACTTTTCTTTTATAGTTGGGGGTACAAATTCTTTTTTTTTTTTTTTTTTTTTTTGTTTTGTTTTGTTGTTTTCAGGTTATGTTCTTATTTTATTTTATTTTTAATTATGTGTATGTGGACATGTGCAGTGCTTAAGGAGGCTACATAAAAGTAATAAATCCCCTGGAGCTGGAGGTTCAGGTGGTTGTGAATTTCCTGCTCTGAACTACTGACATCTCTCCATTCCCTCCAGTCTATATTCTGAATTTAAAAACTAATGAAAACATAGCATGATGCAAAATTCTTTGTTGATACCTGAATATGCACAAATACAGAGTATAAAGTGTAGTTTTAGGGACTCTGGTGACAAAATAAAGACAGAGGTCACAATCTAATAGTAAAGATCCAGTTCTTAGGTGGAGTCAATTCCTTAAGCCAAGAGATGGACTTTTCTCCATCTGTTAGGGGCCTTCATGTACAGGTGACACACAGGATTGGAAGTTTGAAGAATGTGACCTAAGGAACACGTGGCTTCCAAGCTGGGCATGGCACATGTCAGTATTCTCAGCACTCAGGAGGATGAGGTAGGAGGACCTGGAGTTTAAGGCCAGTCCAGGAGACAAGAGATCATCAAGAAAACGAAAGATGAAGAGGAGAGAAATGTGACTTGACAACTTTCCCTTGCTGTGCCGTTTGTTTTCTGCTTCCACCATTCCATGTGTCCATAGCACCTCCTACCTTCTCTATCCTGGATAGCAGTCCCTTGCGTTCCTCAATGCCACCTTCACAGGAAAGGGGGTCTGCAGTGTTCACTTTAATTTGACAGTTCTGTACACTGTGGGATGTGCCCTGCCCAGGCAGGAGTTAAGAAGGGCAGAGAATGTTGGAAGACTCCAAGTTTTAATGCAGAGCTCTGATGCTTTGTTCATCGAAGAGACAGCTTTGTGTTTCCTCTTAGAAAGCCACAAGACCCTTGTGACCTTGAACCTGGAAACTAGGTTTCCAGGCCAATGACCAAGGAAGCTAGGAGAGGTTGATCCTCCAGGATACCAGGTTCTAACAATTTACATCTGCCATCCAGGGGAAACTCTTCATTGACCTGCCCTGCCAGGTGCAAGATTTAGAAGTTTATATTCATCATTCTGACACAGAATACTCATTTAGAAATGTAGAATTGTCTTTCTGATTCCAGAAGACACTGGTCCCCATCTTCTCATTGTTCTTCATGGAGACATCAGATCCTCTAATCTCAATCCTTTCCTTACCAGGTTTGTCCCCAAACACTCAGTGCTGTTCTAATCTGTGTGCTGTGGGTACTACTGATGAGAGAACTGTCCCTAGGCTCTATGTACCCAGAAGTAACATTTCTATATTTACTGCCAACAAACACATAGTCTGGCCTCAGTGCTTACAACACTCATAGGACATATCTGTGCAGAGAAGACCATCTCTGGCTGCCGCTTTTCCATGAGTTCAGGACAAATTTGGTAACATGCTTCTGGGAGGACATCCCCCATGATGTCATAGCACTCCAGAGGGGCAGAGTAGAGTTCCTGGGTCAGCTCTCTGTGTGGTACAGCAATTCCTTCAGGACAGCCATAGAGATGTCATTTTCTTAGACGTTGATCTTGGTAAGCTGGGAGCATTGGCTAAGGGGAGGCAGGAGGGCACTGAGCCGAGAGTCCCCCATCCTAGAGCTCTCTAATTCCAGGGTCTACAGACTGTCATCAATTCTCTGAGCAAGAATTCTGAGTCCTAGGACATGAGTTGCAGAACACTACACACTCAGATTCAGGTGTTGAAACAAAACAAATTTAGCACTGGGATAGTTACGTTAGAGCCAAAAGAGAAAGCTGGCAGTGAATGATGGAGAGGGTCTCCAAGGGGGTCTTCAGGCACCTAAGCAACATTCTCAAGGTAGCCATTTAGAAAGTAGACATCGTTCATGCAGAGATGCTGGAGACTGGAGTTTGGAGAATTGAGAAAGGAAGGTGGAAACCCACATCTCCAGCTCTGCAGAAATGACTACATTGACGTTCTTCCTGATTCTTGCTAGAACGAGTTTGTGAAGATTTCTCAACTGACCCAGATAAGGTCCAAAATGGGCCATGTCTTCCAGATGCAAACTCTGACTCCTGGATGGCATCTAGATCCAACTTCTTCAGAGTCTTTGTAATAGTATGGACAGGCAATGCCCAAATCTGTACCTTCCAACAGCACAGCTGAACTGAACCTTTTTTCTGGTGGGCCCACTGCAGCAAGCACTTTTCATATTCATTTAGATCATGCCCCAGAATGTCAAAATCAGCTAACACCATCAAGCACATCTCAGATGCAGGATGGTCCTTCACTTTCTCCTTTGTACTCCTGATCTGTGGTAAGCAGCTGCCAGCCGGGACTCCAGCCTGTACATTCCAGAAGTTGAGGTATACATTCCGCAAATCAAGCACTTGAAGTTTCTACATTCTGGGTCTTGCTTTGCTTTGGTGAAACCTGAGCAGCAAATCCAGTCCATCTGGCATAGCTTTCAAAGTCTTCAGGTGGGGGATCTTCATCAAGGCTCCCATGGGGAGGCAGGAGAAGGGCCAGGCTGTCACCCATCATGCTCAGAATATCAGTGTTCCCAATGGTGAAGACGTCCTTGAACAGTGCTGGGAAGAGCTCCACCCACAGCTCCTCTGGAGCAGAGAGGGCCAAGGCCTTATCTTGCAGCAAGCTCTGCCTTACTAGTTCCAGGATTTTGGGTGGGGCCAGGTCACTCATTCTGACAGACCTTCTAGTTGAAGGATACAAATAGAGGCATTGATGACAGCAGAGCCAGGCAGTAACCCCAGGTTCCAGGACTCTGATAGTTGTAGGTACAAATTCGAAACTGGATGTCAAATGTATATTTAAGCCACTCCAAGATGTACAGAGAAAGTGTTTTACATCATATTTTTTTTCTGTTGGAAATATGAGTATCAATTTAGAGTGCTGTGATTATTCTGATTATTTTGACAGACAAGACTTTCAAAGCATCCATTGGAAATAAAAGTCCAGGGGAAGGGGGAAGGGGGGAGTTGAGGTCAACAAGATCAAGACACATTGTGTACATGTATAAAGTTGTCAAAGAAGAAATAATAGATTTTTTTTAAAAAAAAGAAATTTCAAAACCTAAAACCATGCTTAAAGAAGTGAAGGATGTTATGATGGTAGTATCTCATCAAAAGAGGTCAATAAGGAGACGTATAAAAAAGAAATTCTGGAGTTAAAAAATGTAACATATGAAATATTTGCTAGAGTGCTCAACTGTGTATTTGAAAAATCAGAAAATCGGTGAATTTGGAAGATAGATTGACAGATAAATACACAGAACCTCAGAGACATTCAAAGAATCATCTTGCTCACTAGCGTATTTATAACAGGGATAGCAGGAAAGGAGAGAGCCAGGAAAAGAAATATATTTGTAGAAATAATGGCCAAAAACTTCCTCAAATGAATGAAAAACAGTCATTTACACTTCTAGAAACTCAGTGAACTCCAAGAGAGATAAACACAAACTTCCCTACTCAAAGACACCATAGTAAGACTGCTAAAAGCAAGGAGGGTAATCTCAAAAGTACTGAAATAAACGTTGAGGAACATTCTTTTAAGCTCATGTGCCAACAGTTTTGCTGTCAATTATCTTGTGGTCCTTGGTATCAGACCTCCAAGGGCCCTTTGTTGTATTGAACTGAGAATGTGGACTAGACTATGTGTATATCTGAACTACAAAAAATTACCATTAATGGTTATTTGCCATCAGACAAAGCAGCTACATTTTCCAATGAAATTATTAGTTACACATTGTGTTTATTCTTTTTAAACCCGAGTTTTAAAATGATCTTATCTCGTTACTCTTTTTTTTTTTTTTTTTTTTTCCTAAGAAAAACAGAAACATTCCTCCTTAAGCCAAGGCAGGGTCTGACAGAGCTTGGCAGCTGGGAAGCATCTTTCTAAATCTGGAAACACCACATCTCTTTGGAAAGTGGGAGCAACAATTTGTGCCTTAAATGTGAGGAGATATACTTCTTTGTGTGAAAAAATAACTTCAGGGAAGTGCTAAAGGTAAATATTGGGTAAAGCAGTTGGAAAAGCAAGAGATACTGAATTTGTCAGACTAGTTAGTTTCTTCATGTGCCAAGGAGAAAGTAAAACAGGAAAGCTATTTTCCATTTGCAAAATATGCTCTCCAAATTGCCCCCATTTTTATTTTATTTTTTGGTCTTTTTGAGACAGGGTCTTCCTGTAGCTCCGACCTGGAACTCACTGTGTAGACCAGGATGGCCCTGAACTCACAGAGATCCACCTGCTCTCCTGAGTGCTGAGATTAAAGATGTGCACTACCACACCCGGCTCAAATTATTCTTTATTAGAGTTCTGTCTGTTAAGATTCTCACAATGTGTTATGCACAAAAATTCTATTGTTTTCTCCCAAAGACAGAAAATTTTTATTAGTATTAATCTTGAGCTTGAGTCTTGTTATATATCTTTTCTACAACTAAAAACTATTTTGTTTGCTGAATGCCAGTTGCCCTACTTTCAATCCATTCTTTTCTTTGTGCTTTGTTAGAAACATCAATTAATTCATGTCACTTGTGTGATTCAAATACTTGACAGAGGCTAGAGGGTCCTGTGTGACTAGCCCTCTGTTCTAGTTTCCTTGTTCATTTCTCTGCCCTGACACTTTGGTCTTTGCGCCACCCTGATCCTCACACTTCCTATACTCTTTTCTACCCCAGGGCCTTAAGAGCTGTGTTCCCCCTTAAGTGGAAGACTTTACCCTCCTGTCTTCCCTTGGTTTTCCTCTGCTTTCAGCTCTGTGCTGGTTACTGTGCACACTTG